TAATTACACTTCCATCTTTAAATTCTTCCCTCTCTCTCTCTCTCTCTCTTTCTTTCTCTTTCGAAAATAGCTTAGCATACATTTTTTGAAATCAAATATTTTATTGATATTACACATTATCATATTCAATACTTTTAATTTAAATAATAGTAATAAAATTTTAATTATTAAAAAATAATAAACAAAAATCATTCAAATTTATTTTCTTTTTTCTTCTTCTATCTGATAATAATTTTTTTTTTTTCGAATTAAAATGTATGAAATGTAAAAAAATTTTTTCTTTCTCTCTTTTATTTCATTAATACAAATTTTAATTATTAAAAAATAATAAACAAAAATCATTCAAATTTATTTTCTTTTTTTCTTCTTCTATCTGATAATAATTTTTTTTTCGAATTAAAAAAAAAAAAAAAAGAAGATTAAAAATATATGAAATGTAAAAAATTTTTTTTCTTTTTTTTTTTTTTTTTATTTTATATCAGCTAAATTAAACATTTGCAAAAAAAGAAAAAAAAAAAAACTAGTGATAATTTTAATTTTAAAATAACAAACAAAAAAATTTTCTTTTTTTTTTTTTTCAAATTTGTAAAAAAACTTTTTTCTCAAACTTTTTTTTTTTTCTTTCATTCAAAATTAATTTTTTTTTTTTTTCCCTCTCTGATAATAATATTTTTCAAAAATTAAAAATGTAAAAATTTTTTTTTCTTTTTTTTTTAATTTATATGAACTAAATAAAAAAAAAAAAAAAAAAAAAAAACTAACAATAATAGTAGATGAATATTTGAAATCATCATCATCGTCCATGGTAAGATCTTGAAATGCCACTAGCGCTTCTTCAATTGTTGCGCCTGATATCGAGAATCATAAGCGATGCATTTATCTGTACCAGGCTTAATTACACATGGACACTAAAATTAGCATATTAATGCTTTTTTTATTTATTCAATTCGTTTTTTTTTTTTTAAATTAATATTAAAATTCATAAAATTTACTTATGCATTGTTTAATTTATTCATTTACCAGGCTTAATTACATATGGACACTAAAAATTAGCATATTAATGCTTTTTTATTTATTCAATTCGTTTTTTTTTTTTTTTTTTTAAAAAAATTAATATTAAAATTCATAAAATTTACTTATGCATAGTTTAATTTATTCATTTAGACAGTAAAAATATTATTCATTCAAAAAAAAAAAAAAATTATATATATATATTTGTATAATTAGTTTAAAAAAAATTATAATTTGAACAAATATAATTAATAGAAATAAAAAATATAATACCTGTGGAATAACATTTCTATGAATACATTGATTTAATAAATTTTTTTGTTTAAAGAAAAAAAAAAATTATAATTTGAAAAAATATAATTAATAGAAATAAAAAATATAATACCTGTGGAATAACATTTCTATGAATACATTGATTTAATAAATTTTTTTGTTTAAAGAAAAAAAAAAAATTATAATTTGAAAAAATATAATTAATAGAAATAAAAAAATATAATACCTGTGGAATAACATTTCTATGAATACATTGATTTAATAAATTTTTATGTTTGAAAAGATATAATTAAAAAATATAACTTTAAAAAAAAAGAAAAAAGGTATATAATACCTGTGGAACAGAATTTCCATGAATACATTGATTTAATAAATTTTTTTGTTTAAAAAAAAAAAAAAAAAATATTATTTGAAAAAATATAATTAATATAAATAAAAAATATAATTTAAAAAAAAAAAAAAAAAAAAAAAAAAAAGGTATATAATACCTGTGGAACAGAATTTCCATGAATACGTTGATTTAATAAATTTTTTGCATCCAAAATTTGTCGTTGATTATTTCGTTTTATGCGTGCTTTTTTCACATTATGAATGAAAATTTTTTTTGTATCAGTAAATGTAATATTTGAATTATTAAAATGTTGCACAGATAAAATATTTACACTTTGAAATGGTTCAAATTTGATAATTGTATGAGATAATAATTCAGCATTTATAATATTTATTATATATAAAATAAAAATAAAGAAATGAACACTTATCATTTTGTTATTTTATCAAATATTTTATGCTATACAATCATTTTTGTTGTTTAGTAATGTTAACCCATTCGTATCCAGTTCATACACAAATAATTAATTATTATTTGAGTAATTAAATATAAACAAATCTGAAATATGTTTTGTTGATTGTTACGTTGATTTACGTAACGAGCTAACATGTATAGAGTTATATTGGTTACGTAACGGGCTAACACGTGTATGGAGTTATGTTGATTACGTAATGAGCTAGCACGTATATTGGGTTACATTGGTTACGTAATGAGCTAGCACGTGTATGGAGTTACATTGGTTACGTAACGGGCTAGCACGTGTATGGAGTTACATTGGTTACGTAATGAGCTAGCACGTATATTGGGTTACATTGGTTACGTAATGAGCTAGCACGTATATTGGGTTACATTGGTTACGTAATGAGCTAGCACGTGTATGCAGTTACGTTGATTATATAATGGCTGGCACGTATGGGATTATATTGGCTATGTAACGGGCTAGCATGTATGGTGTCACATTGGTTACGTAACGGACTAGCAAAGTATGGAGTTACATTGCCTACGTAACGGGCCTAGCACGTTTGGGGCGTTTGGGGGGTCAGTAGTTACATAACGGGCTAGCACGTATGGAGTTACGTTCGTTACAGTAACGGGTTAGCACGTATGGAGTTACGTTCGTTACATAACGGGTTAGCACGTATGGAGTTACGTTCGTTACAGTAACGGGCTGACAGAGTATGGAATTATACTGCCTACGTAACAACGGGTCTAGCACGTTTGGGATTACAGTAGTTACATAACGGCGTAGCACGTATATGGGGTTACGTTGGTTATGTAATGGCTGACACGTACAGGGTTACGTTGGTTATATAATGGCTGACACGTACAGGGTTACGTTGGTTATATAATGGCTGACACGTACAGGGTTACGTTGGTTACGTAACGGACTAGCACGTATGAATACATAACAATTACTTTTAATTTATCATCACAGTTGAATTATTAATGAATACAGCGTAATCAATTATCATTATTAAAAATAAATAAGCAAAACATATATTAGAAGTACTTCTTCTTCTTTTTTTATTTTTTGCAAAATGTTAAAATTATTGAGAAGAAAAGATTAAATAATTTTCAATTTCAAAATAACTAATATATTTATATTGATTATGAGATTTATTTATTTATTTTTTGCAAAATTATTTTAATGATTTGGAATGAAAAATTACTCAAAAAAAAAAAAAGAAAAAGAAAAATCAATAAACATAAGTTATATGTGAAAGAAATTTTAATTGAATTAATTAATTACAATTATTGAATTGTATTATAATAGTATTTTGCATAGATTTCATTTATATTTTAATGCATAATATATTGATTATTCAAATGATATCATAATTGATTGTAAAATAATGAATTATTAGATAAATAAAATTATAATAAAACTGAAAAAAAAAAAAAAAAAAAAAACTGGAAACTCATGAACTGGAAACTGGAACTCATATCAAAGCATTTTCCGGATAATAATCCATCTTTTTCTTTTCTAATTATTAATTTCAGTATTCGAGAATTTCGAGAATTTTTCTTTCCATATTTTTCCCACTATTTTTTCGTTTTCTTTTATTTCTTCCATAATTTAACTCAGAGAATATTATTATATTAAAATCTATTTTCTGGCAATTATAAAACATTTGGAAATTATATCGTTGCTATATTTTAAGTATTACTTATCTAGCATTTTCCTCAAACATTTTCAAATAGGATATTGTGCAAAAAAAAAAAAAGAAAAAAGAAAAAAATAGAAAAAAGAGAAAAAAGAGTTACTCATGCTATTACTATTATTACATTACTTAATTACTTTTATTATTACTTCATAACAATAACAAAAAAACAACAACAACAATAACAATAACAGCAGCAATAATAGCAGCAACGACAACACAACAACAACAACAACAATAGCAATAACAGCAACAATAATAGCAGCAACAACAACAATAGCAATAACAGCAACAATAATAGCAGCAACAACAACAACAACAATAGCAATAACAGCAACAATTATTGCTGCTATGAAATTTATTTAGTACTTAAAAAAATATTATCAAAAATTTATAATTATTTTTTGAATTTCGAAAAAATTACAATTTTTTGATAAGAAAAATGTAGAAATAGCATGAATAAATATTTTTCAATCTCTGTTTTAAGAATAAGAAATGTAAAAAAAAAAAAAAAAAAAAAAAAAATAAAAAATAAAAATATCGTAAACCGGTACTGAAGAGTATTTTATTGACATTCTATTCTCTCTCTCTCTTTTTTTTTTTTTTATATATCCTGTTCTACCTCTTTATGTTTCTGGCATGTGATGCCACGTTAATTATCACAAATATCAAATGTACTTTCAGTTCAAATTTCAAATGGTTTTTAAATTTTGGTTTCAATTACTTTTTTTTTTTTTTTTTTTTTTATAAATTCTAATTCCAGACAATTATTTACCCAGTGATTTTCATAAGAATGAACTTTAATCAACAACATATAAAAAAAATTAAGAAATTACAGATTAAAAAAAAAAAAAAAACAAACAATAACAAATTTGGAATGACATTTGAGCAGTAGCTTAGTTACAACCATGAATGTTTTGTTCAATTAGAAAAGGTCATCAAACTATTACCCATAAGGAATTGCAGAAAAATGTATTAATTGACAGCTAGACAATAAAATGGATGATTAATACTGATTTCTATTACACAAAAAATTTCCCTTTCAAAATTTAGCAAAAATTTTTCTTAAAATATTTGATAAATCGATGAAATTTTCAGGTATTCATGTTTATATCACAAAATATTGTCATAAGTTCACTTATGATAATCAGGCAAAATATTTTAATATCATTCCAAATGCTAGTATTTGCAATTTAGATGCTTAAATATAGTGGAAATAAACAATATGTAACTATTTGTTGTAAAAATTAAGGAAACAATTTGATCGATAATACAGTTATAATTACAACTGAATTTTATTAGGCATTAGATAATTTATTTCTCAGTATTTTCGAATCAATATTCATTAGAGAGAAATTTTCGGGATGTATTTGTAAAGAAAAATATAGTCAAACCAAAAAAAAAAAAAAAAAAAAAAAAACAACAAGTAGTATTAGAACTGTCAATCAACAGCGATTTTCTCATGCTGGATAAAACTTAGGTTTGCTTCGCTTTTTGGGATTTGTTTTTAACGCCAGCCAAAATGCTACGTCATCAATAAATGTCTCTTTTAGAAGTGACTGACACATTACATGAACATAATTATTTATTGACATACAAACAATAAAACAAACCAAAGGCAGTAAATAATTAAACGTTCAAATTGAAAAAAAAAAAAAAAAAAAACACATAACACCGCTTCTATCCTTCGTCCATTTGTTCACTGCCAAAGGCATCTCCATGATCTGCAATCCGAAGCATATAAGCTAAACATAAAAATAGAGTGTTTAAACATATATTTTTGTCCGAAAACATTGCACCTATCGGAGCGACTTCAACCTTTATAATACTTCTATATTTTATAGAAATATTTTATACAAAAACCATAAAATATGTTAAATCACGCTTCCCACACTACTAACACACGTTATATTTATATAGCACTCGTGTTATCTTCGCTCTCGTGTTATCTTCGCTCTCGATCATAATTTTAGTCCTTTCCCGGCAGTAATTGTCATTGATCAAATGAATATTAAATTAATAGAATTATAAGACTAAATCTTCAATTCAAAGAATATCCCCTTCAATTCGCCATTCTAACAAAATACACTTCGAAAGCAAACTTGATCTCGTTTGACTATACCCAATATTCGTTGATCACCACACTATTCTTTTCAGTTCAGGTCAAAAAAAAAACATACCACCATTGGTTTCATGCCTGCGCATAGTTGTTGATATGTCTTGAAAATATAGCGTATTCTGATCTCCTTCTCCATCATTTCCCTCATAATCTCCTTCCTCATCCGATTTATTTTCTAAAAAAATAAGAGTTACAAGTAATATGGGAAAAATCTTCAGATCTATTTTACCCTTATTAGTAATCAAATTGCGCTATAAGATCTTTAACACCCATACTACAGCTGATATATACCTGAGAAATCGCCGTCTGGATCCATAGTAAAATCGTCCGAAAAATCGTCCCCCTCGTCAGGATTCAGTTCTTGGCATTCGCACATTTGTTGATAAATATTTTGTACTGAATTTTTCGAAAATTATAAAACTAGCAAACATTATATCATCATATCTGATACAACAAGATGGAACTCTATACAAGTCACTAATTTAAAGCAGATATTCTAAATTACGCAAGTTAGTTCCAAAATTTTTTAATCATTCAAATGCGTAAAGTGAGAAATCTTACAAAGAAATTAGGAGCTAACATATGATAAGTACTTATTTTAAAAAATTTCTTCTTAAAACACTAATTTAATTATCACACTTTTATAGTAATTCATTTTAGCGTATTTCATAATTTAACTCCATACCGAACATATTTCTTATGTTACTTTTTTAAATCAGCAACAATCAACAAAAATTAACATTTAAAAATTTTAAAAACTTAATGTCATCAACAGTAAGTTGTAAAACTAACAATAAATGAAACAAAACACTGGAAACCGAAAAAACTGCAAACAGCGGATAAAATCCCTAGAACATCTAATATATTTCATCCCTAAACTTACATATAGTTTTGTCTTGGGGAGAAAAACGTATAGCTAAATGTGCTTTATCATCATCATCACCATCATCATCAATATCATCACCGCAACCATTCTCTGTCCTTTTTTCATCAAATTCTGCTTGTTCTTCAATACCATTCCCATTATGTGCACTACTCACAGACTCCTCGGTGCCTTGTAATCCTATGTCTGCAAATAACAACACAAAACATTATTAACAAAGGTATGAAGCAGAGTAGTAAGTTGAATTCTTCTAATACACATTAATTTAAAAAAATTATCGTTTGATACCTACATAACACCAAACGTGTAATTGTCTCATAGAAAATTTCAATAATCCACATTTATGTCTTACAAATATGTAAATCTTAAATTCTCACATGCAAATGATTATCAAACACTGAATATGGTGGCATACCTGACCCTTTCGCATCAGCTAACACGTAAATGCACTCTTCTGGAAACACGCTTGGATCCCGTGAAACAGCATGAAGGATGATTGACGGATAAGTCAGACTAAAGCCTTGTCCACTAATATTTGAAATCCATGTTACTGAACTAAAACATTCCATTTATTTCGCAACCAGATTCGAATACGGCTAATATTAACATAAAAATAATTAAACTGACTCAAATCAGTCTAGAAAATATTTCAAAATTGCATGATTTACCCCTTCCAGCTGGCACAAAAAGCATCCGAAAGCTAAACTGCTCCAAACCTTCATACAAACTAATCTGCTAGGGGTAACACAACAATCACTGGACCATACAATTTTTTAATAATTTTCTTCAAATAATATAATATTTAATAATAACACAATTTAATTCAAACCAATTCGATACCTTTCGGCAATGGTCAGTTCACCTTCACCAGCAGATTCACTTTCAATATATGCAGTAACTTGACCTTGAATCAATCGAATGCCATCTGTTGGCACAGCTACATTACTTAAAACAATCATTTCTTATCGTCCTAAAATTAATTCGACAATATAATTTTATGCACAAAATGATTATAGTAGTATTTACATTCCACATTCACAGTTTAATCCTACCAAATGCTAATATCAACCTGTAAAAATGTAAACTGTTACTTAGAAGTCAGCGTACGTCCGCCAAAATCAGTAATTCTACCGACCATTAATGTCAAAGGTCACAGTCACGTTGACACGTTGAAACTTACTTAACCTAACGAGGACCATAATTTCACTAACTATACTTAACTAGCATGGCAAGTTACCAACACCGTAGAATAACTTTCGTTTCAGGATTAATCGTTATTCATGCAACGTAATGAAGCACTTTTGCATGTTTAATTTAAGATATTCGTGATAGTTTGGACTGCTTTACGTTTGCTTTATGATGCAATAACAATTGGTTTTCTTTTTTATTCTTTTTTTTTTTCTCTTTTATGTGTTAAGCTAAAATTAGATGCAAATGGATAAAATACATAGGAAAATGCATTACTGTAAACATTGTGTTATTTGATGTTATAAACTTATTGAATGTTTAAGTAATAACTAGATGCAGAAATGTATATAATGTGTGCAAGTGTAATAGCGCTTTCTTTTTCATTAACACGCAACATAGTGCAAAATTATAAATATTAGCTTATTTGATATTATGAAATATCACGTATCATGCAGTAACTAATTACTGCACTGATGTTAATCATTCATTCTGAGTTCCGTTTTAATTTAGGTGTGAATATGAAATTACTGTAAATGGGAGCATGCTGACAATGTTGCATCGTTCGAACGAATTTTAGATGGCGTGGAATTTCGAATAATTAAAAATCTGAACACTTGGATTTGAATTTGAAAAAGATGGGAAGGAAAGGCTGAAGTAATCGCATTGAAAACAAGGATAGCTCGAAGGTTAGTAAATAATTTCCGCTGATATTGCATTTTGTTTTTAAAAAAAACTGCATATCAAACTGAGGAACTTGGATTCAGACTAGAATTTTAAGTTCGAATTGGTCATATTATCATTTTGTACATGTGGTTAAGATCAATAAAAACTGAGTATTTTTTTTCCAGTAAATTTCACTAGAAAGCATTGTTAAATTATAACAATATTACTTAACAAAATCAAAATAGAAACAGAATCTTATTACCATTGTGATAAGGCATTTAAACAACAAAAGCAGAAAAGCATTTTGATCAATGTTAAAATGATATTAGTTAAAAACAAAATTGCAGTTCTATCAGTAAGAGTAAAAATTGTCATTAATGTGATTTGAGCAACCTAAGCACCTAAATAATAGTTCCGCTGAATCCATACAAAGTGATATGCTCTGTTCGATAGCTTCATCTATTTTATCCAATAAAGTAGGCGCTGAACTGTTGGAATTGATTTTGAAATCGTTTAATGTCTGAAAATCTTTGAACTTGTTCATTCACATACGAAATTTCCTAACAACATATAATTTAAATCAGTTAAATGCATTTAATTGATTTAAAATATGTTCCATTAAGAGAACGATGTTCTCATTATCAGATATAATCCTCTCATATTGCACTGCATTATATCAGTGTACTATAATTTGAAGTACGAATTGTAAGAAATAAGTGTAAAAAGAAAGTAGCCATATCTGATGCATTACCATAATAAAACCATTTAGAATTTTGTATGATTTCAATTTTCTTAATGAATGAATAGAAGTATTTGAATTCAATACTTCTGGTGCCATCTTTACACATCACCCGGAATGATCACATTCAGATTCCATTCTGTTAGTTTCATCTTTTTCCTTTTTCCATATTCCTCGAAGCATCACAAAATAGATACATCAACGACTTATCAACAAATTACTATTAGGTTATCACTGGTAATTAGCTTTATCAAGAGCACAAGAAATAACATTCACGAACTTACTATGTTAAGTGGAACAATCTCAGTGCCATTCGTAGTCCGATAAACATTAGCGCTGAATATTGGCGCAATTATGCATAAAATGATACATAACATTGTCATCATCATCACCATATTCCAAAACAAACTTTAATTAATCTGCAAAGACAAATCTTCCTCAACCTAGAAAACTGATATTAAAAAAAATATTTTGATATGTAAAAAAAGTATGGTAAAAAGGAATTCTCGTTTTTATGTCAATCTTGATGATAGTATGCCAACAAATATGATGCTTGTCTATTTTAACTAAAATAAAAGTTGCACGTTTGAAAGTAAATGAGCTGATTTTATGAAATGGTAAGTTTAAAGTCTAATCAACATTTAATATTATAGAGATTTCCGTGAATCCATTTCAGGTGGGGAAAATGTTAACTGATAGTGAAATTTGTTTGATCAAACAGATGATATTAGTAAAAATGAACTGTGTGGAACGAGTAAAATGAGACTTTTTAAAGTGTCAGATAGCAAATTAGCATATTGGTTAAACAAGGAATGGTTTAACGATTTTTTTAATCCTTATTCAATGCAATTTATTCATTGTCATCTCGAATAAATGTAATTTATTCATTGTCGCATAGGATTAGTAATAGTTTCAAATATGGTTTTTAAGTATAACTTGATTTTCATGTTTTGCATAGTAATGAGTTAAAAGAATGTGTAAAAGGAATGTCACGGGATTATGTATTGTATTGTTGCGTTTGAATAGTGTGCATTAATCGTTTGTGTCTTATTAGTTTTTCAATAAATTTAGAAATTTTCAACTTTAATTAGGTGAAAATATGGCATTAAGAAGTAAATACCATTAATTTATTGGTAATGTTCACTTTCTTGTCGGTTAGCATTACTTTGAGAAGAGACAGATATCGATTGATTTGATCTTTATTTCTTTTCTTCTGTGCAAAAATTAAGAGTGGAAAATGAGATTATGAAAAAATTTGGTGGAATGAGGTTTGAACATAATGTTATGAAACTTGGAGTTTCTAACTCTTGTAGCTTAGAGTCGAATTGAACTTTCGTATGCTCAGCAGTTTTCTTTGTTTATTAACGAATGCGTTGAGTGGAAGAAAAAAATTATAACGATTTTATTTGCTAACAACAATAAAATATAGGTATTAATCTATAGCAATAGTACACTAATCTTTTCGTGGAGTATCTACGAATGAGATGAAGGAAATGAATAAATTGATTAGAACTTAAAGAATTTAAATGAACTGAATTAAATGAGCAAGATAGTATTAGCCGAATTATATAACTTGCTGGTACAAAAAACTAATCCAAGACAAGGGATTTAAATCCATAGATAGTGGGCAATGATTTGAAATAAACGCATGATTACATGGAGCAAAGAGCTATCAGATGACCTTTACTCTTTATATAGTAAGGGATGGGTTTTAATATTGTCAGTTTCTCATAACAATAACTATTAGATTACAAAACCATTACAATATTTCAACATTGCAAGCAAATTTGATTCGGAAACAAAGAAATAGTTTTTAACATATTAAACAATGCACATAGCTTTTGTTAACAGTTGAAAGTTTCTAAACATTTAAAAAAAAATTTGAAAAACATTTCCCAACTGTTAACAATTGAAAATTTTCTAAACAAACTAAACGAGCAAATAAGTTTAGTTAAAAGGAAAGATAAATGCTAGAATCGTGATTACTTACATGAGATGCAATTTAAAACAGTTTTATATTTCTTTAAAGAATGTTCAATTAGAAAAAATTTTAATATTGTGGATTGATGCACTTTTATTTGATATATTTTGTAAGTTATTTGGATGTTCACAAGACTTATTTTGAGTTCCGCGACACATAATAAAGTCGTTAAATGAAAAGTTTTGAAATTACCTAGAAAGGAAGATATAATCAAAGGAAAGATAGATTTGAGCAGAAGAAAAGTAAAGAAAGGATGAAGAAAAGGTCGTTAAAAAACAGTAAGATGAAGAATACCGAAATGAATTGAATCAATTTATGAGCATTTTTAATTAACTAAATTAATTATAAAAGCAAATATATGTTAGGATAGGTAAAATTCATATTGGATAAGTAAAACCAGTACCGATTAAGTATAAATTAACGAATTTCAAGTCATAGATTAACTTATAATAATAAATCATATATGTAGTGAAATGGTGGAAAATTGTGAAGGAATCAGTTAACAAAAGATTAATCTCAAATCTTTGCATTAAATTAAATTATCAATTAACGTTTCGATTTTATCGCTTCTCTCATGCCGTTTCCCTTTCAAATTCCTGTCCTTTTTCTTTTTTCTCATCTCGTTTTCCTTCTTTCTCCCGTATCCTTTTGTTTTCTGCTGTTTGAAAATATTATCAGCAATCAGGTCTGAATTAAATGGAAACAAATTATACAATTGACTTTAATTTCGCCTCAAATTATATTTATTTTATTGCCAAAACGACAGAATTTTATCTGAATTCAATTCGTCATTCAATTTTATCGATTATTCAGTTTATCATTAGTGGGTTAGAGTTTATAACCAGTGAGTTAGAGATGCCAAAAGTATTGAATTTAAATACTTCTATTCACTAAGAAAATTGAAATCATGCAAAGTTCTAAATTTTTATTATGGTAATGCATCAGATATGGCTACTTTCTTTTTACACTTATTTCTTACAATTCGTACTTCAAATTATAGTACACTGATACAATGCAGTGCAATATGAGAGGATTATATCTGATAATGAGAACATCGTTCTCTTAATGGAACATATTTTAAATCAATTAAATGCATTTAACTGATTTAAATTATATGTTGTTAGGAATTTCGTATGTGAATGAACAAGTTCAAAGATTTTCAGACATTAAACGATTTCAAAATCAATTCGAACAGTTCAGCGACTACTTTATTGGATAAAATAGATGAAGCTATCGAACAGAGCATATCACTTTGTATGGATTCAGCGGAACTATTATTTAGGTGCTTAGGTTGCTCAAATCACATTAATGACGATTTTTACTCTTACTGATAGAACTGCAATTTTGTTTTTAACTAATATCATTTTAACATTGATCAAAATGCTTTT